CAGAGCTGGGACTTGAACTTGGGTTTTCTGACTCCTGGTCTAGTTCATTATCTGTTGGTCTGAGGATCATGATAAGCCAAAGAGGATCTTGAAATGCCCCTTCTCTTCTTTCCTAACACATGTCTACATGGCTGTTCAGGAAAATGACAGTGTAATGTACCACCTGGGGAAGGGACATTTGTTCTCACGGCCCTTTCTGGTAATAGCCAACAGTTCTTTTTGTCTCAAATGACCTCTGCAGCCTGAAGCCTGAGTGACCACCTCTTCTTTGTCATTTCTAGGATCAGCTACCAGGTGCTCCTTGACTTTGGGGCACTCAGCTTGGCCGTGGCGATGGGTCTGGTGTCTGGTCTCCTGACAGGTCAGTGTGAGGCCACCCTCCTTCCACCATTGCCCAGGACATAGCACCTGGATCCAGAGCATGTCCTGCCCTGTGACTGGGAGTGTATGTGCCCGTCCCCTTCCCCATTCACCAACCCCTCAGTTCCAGCCCAATGAGGCAAGGGCTCAAACCTTGATTTAGAAAAATATCATAGAAGTGCATAATTTCAGAATTGGAAGGGCCCTTAGAGATCACCTGCTGTCATTGTGGACTCTGCAGCCAGGGAAGGGAACGGCCTCCTTGAGGTTAGAAGTGGGAGTGAGTGGCAACATTGCAGCCTCTTGAGCCCAGGGCTGCCAATTGCATCCACTTTTGTACAGAAGACAAAGAAACCCTTAGTCAAAAAGCCTACCATTTATTCCCTGAGGACACCCATAATACTATTTTATTCAACAAATATTTATTCAATATCTGCTGGGAACTGGGCACTGGGGGCACAGCAGTGAACAAAACAAATTTCCTGTCCTCAGTGAGCTGACAGTCTNATCCTATATAGGGATGGCCGGTTCACTCACTTGGGAGAGCGTGGTGCTGACAACACCAAGTCAAGGGTTAAGATCCCCTTACCGGTCATCTTTTAAAGAAAAAAAAAATATATATATATACTATGTCAGATGGCAATGAGTGCTGTGAAGACAAATAAAGCAGGGTAGGTGGACATAGAGTCAGTGTGGGGGTAGGGTGTGTTTTTAGAGAGTGACCAGGGAAGGCTTATCTGAGAAGCTGGTCTTTAAGCAGAGACCCAAATGAAGAGGAGGGAGACATGTCATGCATTTATTTGAGGGAAGAGCATTCCATGAAAAGGGGACAGCAAGTACAAAGGCCCTGAGGCAGGAGCATGCTTTTTGTGTCTGGGGAAAAGCAAGGAGGCCAGTGTGGCTGATATGGATGGAGTGAGGGGATATCAGAAGGGGTTGAGGGCAGAGTGGTAACAAGGCATAGGTCATTCCAAGAGGCAGGAAGCCTTTGGAGATCTTTAAACAGAGGAGTGAAGTATGTCTCTGCTTTTGCAATATGATAGAACAGTAAAGAATCTTGGGAAGTTACTGACTAGCCAGCCTTCCTTATATGCCAACATCCTTGGCCTTAGCTTTCGACAGGGTCTGAGGTGATTAAGCAGAGATGGAGTAGAATTAACTGTATAAGTTAAGATTCTATTCATGGTGGCTGGTGTTCAACCCTGCGTAGGGCTGGCGGATTTAGCAAATGAAAATACAAGGTGCCCATTTTTTGAACTCAAAATTAACTGGGCATCCTGTATTTTATTTGGCAACCCCACACCTGGTCTCCCATGACATCCACTGTTATCACCGGTATTTACAAGGTGGTGCTGATTTGCACCCTGTCTTGTAGAGAACCTGGGGGGCTTTTCTTATGCTTCACTAGAGTCGAAAAAGGGTGGAGGGAAAGACACGCATATCATTTCTTTCAAAGTTAAGACCAATGAGCTTTCCTCTTTACATGTTGCTTTTGATATGAGGGAAATGGTGATTAAAAACAACATGGACAATGGAAGGGGAAAGAAGTCCCTTGAGTAGCCAGAATAGCAGAGATTGACCCCCTAAAGTCAGGCATTTGACTTTTTAATAGATGTACACCCTCCCTACCATTTGGAGCCTGTCTAAGATATAATCCTACCAAACATAGTTATTGGG